GGGGGGGAGGAAACACACAGGGGCGGAGTTTTGTTTACATTACACGAAATTCTATTTGTCGACGGCGTCGGGCATTGATTGAGAAAATCGAAAAAGAGAAAATTCCGTTCGCTACGCTACTTTTATTTTCTGGCTGTCTTGCGGACGCGGCGGCCTGAAAGATATTTTAATTCCATCCGCCACTTTTTTTTCCGCCCGTATATCAAGCCACTCGCCATTTTCTGCGAATTTCCCAGAACCCCATTCGGGTTTTCCGAATTGTAGAATTCCTCCGTCTTTAGTAATTTCCATTGGGCATTCAGATATTTTTCACTTTTGGCCATTTTTCTTGTGGCTTCTGCGGTTTGGAGGCCATAAATTAATTTTACTTTTGATTATTATTACTTCTCCTTATTCGTTTTTTTGTTTTCTTTTTTTTTTTGTTTTGCCCGCTGTTTTTGTTTTGTGCACATTGTGGAATTTTTCTGCGAGTGAGGAATAAATTAAGCAGGCCCCACCAATAGCTCACAGACCCTGAAATGGCGGGAAATTAATTAATTGCTCTGCTCGCCGATGGATTCCCAGAATCGGGAAAATTATGTTCGTTTAGGCCAGGCATAAATGTACAAAAAGTTTAAGAAATCAATAATGATTTATTCAATTTGCATCAGGTTTATTAAGTTAGGTAATGTGGGTATCATCATCAAAATTGGTCCTGTTACTTAAAAATGTTTTTAAAATGTATCTGTTTTTATTTTAAAATATTTCCTCTGGAATATTTCCTCTAATATTTTAGGATCCACAGATTAAAATAGTAAAAGCTGTACACATTTTCCCTCCACAATTTGATTTATGGAGGAGGGATTACATTTACTGCCCACTGAATATTTACTGCAAAGTTGATCAAAGATATTTTGACAGTTTCCGTTTCAGAAAAATGTTTGCCAAGAAATTTCCAATATGGTTTCCCTCCGACGATTTTATTTTTGCATTTCCCGGTACGACATCTTGTCTTTATAGCCGATTATTTATAGCCAGTGTCCGACTACAAAATGCACTGGCCACCCAGCCAGCTTATGAGTGATCTTAACTGGGTCAACAGTTCCGCCTGATCAGCTTGTATTTATGTAGATAGACTTGGTCAATGGACCATGTATCTATCTATCCGCCATAACCCATGAGTGAGCTCTTCTTGTGGCCATAACACAGATCCATAAACACAGTGGCAAGGGAATTCCCAAACAAAAGCCGTCATCATTTCACATTGTTGTTCCATTTTCAAGTTCAGATAATCATAATAAAGATAAGTTGGCATAGACGGAAGGCGTGCTTCTTGTTTTGCTTTTAATTTTAATGTTAATGTTATTAAATGGCCGAAAATTGTTTACTATCATGGCTGTTTGTAAACAAAATTATGTATACGACGCGTTGAGCCGGCTGATCTTCGATTCTATCCCAGGCGATCCCATTGATGCCCGTTCTGCTGCTCCTGGATGGGCATCGCATCTCAGGCATTGTTTAAACTGTAGTTTTAATAAACATTTAACAATTAAACGCTGTACTCTAAACACAACACAACGCGATCATCGCATCAACCACCAACAACTTTTGTATACAAGAAGAAGCCGCATTCGGATTTGTTTTTGCACACTGACCTACAACAACGGGTGAAAGCAAACAATTGCACCTAAACCGATCCTCGATCGCCACGCCCCCAGCCCCCCCTTATTAAACAGTCTTCTAATAAATAATCAAATAGATACCGGGGAGATGGTGGAAAAATCTGAAACAAAATTTCAAAATATTTACATAGAGTTTCGACCCGAAAATTATGCCGTCTAGTTAAACTTCACTGCCCCTCGCCCATCTTCGCTTGGCCAAGACTTTGTTTAAATATTTACATTCTGCCGTGTGCAATTTGTTGCTTAGATCTCACTCTAAACGATTCGAATCCGATTTCGATTCCTATTCGGATCTGATCCCATTTTTGTTTATCACAGTCTTGATTAGGATCACGTGTTGCGTTGTTGTGGCCAAAAAACCAAAATGAAATATACAAATACCCGCTCTATTTGCTCTTTTTAACCAGCCACCCCATTTAAGTTGTTATTGTTCTTTCCCACGACTGTAATTATGTGTTTGTAAATATTTATGAATTTCCACGTTTTATTTCCCATTAAATGCGAGCATTTCTGGTTAAGTGGATTCGATCTTGTTTGGGCTAATGCGGTTGACAAACTTGAGTGGGATAAACATTGAAATGATTGCTTTAAGTTCAAAAAGCTAAATCGATGGAGGGAAGGGGAAAATATTAGCAACGCTTTATAAATAACGACACCTGAAATTAAACAGAATATGTGGCTAAACTAATTGTCGGCTATAGGAGAACGGAAACGGAAATAGAAGGAATACCAATAGTGAAAATGATTTCTCCAGTAAGTGTTTTTCTCATTTTAATCTGAAAAATTAATTTACAATTATTTATTAAATGAACAATATTTCCTAAATATTGTAAAAATATGCATACCTACTTATAAGCATACAAAACGTTAAAAATCGTTAAATTAAATTTTAAATAATGCGAAACCCATTTAAGGAAAACTAGGAAAATTCTAAAAAGTTTTCAAAATTTAGTTAAAGATTCAGGAAAATAAATTTAAATATATGTATATTAGTATTAATGGTATGAGAAATCTGCAATTTCTGGAGACGACTGCTATTGTACGCTGTACGTGTGGTGGCAGAGGCTGAGCTATCCCCTACGTCTGTATTTTGGCATGCTGCCGTTCGCTGGTATAGATACTTGGTTGAAGAACGCGAATAAAATTGTATTTACTTTAGAAGAATACAAAAAATACGCGCATAAAAATAAAAATTCCTTTGTTCTTTTAACGGATATTTATGCTTTGCATACTCGGCTAATTGCATTTTCGATTCTCGCCTCCTGTTGTGACCAACGATTGCCACACTTTGGCACTTCGCTTGGCCATAAACACCTTGGCCGCTGTGAAATGTACGGGTGTGTGAATGTGAATCCAAGATGGGCGCCTTGCGCAAGATGGCCAAGAGAATCAGCCGTTGGCTTGTCGATGCCATTGCCAAACTATGCAAACTATGGGCCAGACGCAGTAAAAGTTCAGAGACGCCTTCGGGAGGAGAAACCCCCTCCCCCCATTTGGCGCTTTGCGCCATTCAACTGTCGAAGCTGGCGCAATAAAATCGAACAATTTATAGACTTGCGATCCATTTGGTGCGCAATAATTGCGCCAAATGTACAAAAATTAAGAAAAAAAGAAACGGGTCAGAAGACTCGCCGACGACGCTTCGGGCGGGGAAGAATCGAGGAGAACGCTCTACAAATTACTTTGGAAAAAGACCCAAAAAGCAGAATCACTTCGGATACCCGAAAAAGCCGATCGCATCCGATTCTCCACTTGGGCTTTTGTTGTTTAGCTTTTAGTTTAATGGCCGGTACTTAAAATGCGTTGACTCACAGCCAACTGAGGAACAGGAAACTGAAATTGAGCATCTGATCGCTGGGGATTTACTCGCTTTTCATCGCCCGATCGATTCCGCAACGTAGGCAGTAATTAATCTTCCCGCTTAAGCACCCTTGCCAAAATGGCCGATCACACATAACGACCTACGATCTACAATCCCCAGTCTTTTGGTCGATCCTCAGTCCTCTTTCTCCTGCAATCCGCAATCGATGATCTCGAACTGGTAGAATATCTCCAATCGGATCGCCTCCATTTCGTTGGGTGGGATGGCATCTGTTTCGTTTCATTTGACGCTCATTGTCGTCATTGGTCCTCCACTCTTCTCTTGTCTTCTCCGCCCCCCAATTCTTCCGTGTCGTTCGCTTTGTTCTTCCAGGGCTTTTGTAGACGCGTTTTTTACTGATTCCAGTCTGTGGCCTTCGAGGGCAGCGCACCTGTGAGGCCTAAAAATACCCGGTTCCGGGGAAAATACCGCTTGCTCAACATTGAAATGTCATGGGTTGTGTTCCATAGCTTGACAGTCCAATGCTGGAAATATTAGCTTAAATGACTTTTAAAGATCTGAAAGTAAAGTCAGGATAACAATTTTGCACAGATCTTAGAATCCAGAGATCAGTTCAAAGAGTTCAAGAATTTTTCGCTTTTTAATTTTGAGATTAAATACAAGAAGTTAGATGGTCTAGAAACAGTAATTTTTTAATCATATTTTAATTTTTCAAAAGGTTATCAAAAAAAACATAAATGTATTTTATTAAAACTGATTTAATTTTAACTTGAACTAATGGTTTAAAATACTCAAAAAAATTAAACCTCACTACTCACTTTAAAAACCTCAGATCTTTCTTAAAAATATCATATACTTTCCCTCAAATTCTCCACCCCTGTATACCTTTAACCCCATTAAATTCCATATCCAACCCAATTTCTTGACAAGTTATCTTCACCAGATCATTAGTAAAAAGTCAAACATCAGAACTGTGGACCAGTGTCGAGTTCAAGTGGTTTTTGGTCGAGCCCAAAAATAAAATGTAAATTTCTTTTTTGGTTTAATCGACGGCGACATCCTGACGCAGCCGTCAACTAATTATCCGCACCATAAATCGAACCAATTGAGCCACTGACGACAAATATTTTGACGTGGCGCCGCCACGACGATTTCCCCGCTTTTCCAGCTCCCTTTCCCTAAATCATAGTCCGTTGTTAATGTGTGGTCGCCACTTGAGATCGATTTTGGAAGCGGTAGCCACGGGGAACTGAAAACCCGGCTTGTAACTGCAACTGAAACCGAAAACCGATACCAGAAAACGCAAGCCAAGTAGTTGGGAATCGAGGATCACCCATATGTCACTTTGGTCGTTGGCTAGGAAATCGTTTTGGCTAGGGAGTTTTGGCAGGACGAGCTCACACATATTTTTAAGATTAATAAATAGATAAAAAATAAAATGTTTTATACCTTTTTTCAGATCCGTAACAAGTATCATTTTAAATTTTCTGGTTTTATCTTAGCAATCACAGTAACTTTTGAACTAAACATACAGCAAACGTTCTTCATTCGTTTTATTTCTCTGTTAATATAAACAAAATTATTTAAGTGATTCTGTTTCTGAGGTTATCTTTTGGTGAACCAGCTAAAACATGTTTAGAATGCGAAAAGTGGCGTTTTTAAAATTAAGCAAAGGACTAATGAGCCCGCGCCTTCTGGCTGGTTCGGCAAATAAAGGCGATTCAAGCAAGGAATCTTGTAAGGACGACTCTAAAAATAAAGAAAAGAAGAAGAAGAAGACTGATATCTGCGGAAGAAGTAGGTTAACTATCTTTACATTTTATCAAGCTAATACGTTATTTTCTTATAAAGATGTATATCCGACCTCTCCTCGCTGCAAAAATAAGCCCAAGGGTTCGGATAAAAAATCCGGAGATGAGTGCAAGAAATAATGGAGTTTCTTACAAGATGTTCTCTAAATTACCAGTACTTATCCTCGCCTTAAATATTTTTTTTTCCTTTTATTTTAAATACAATGGTTGTGAAATCAAAGAGTGCCCTGAAAAATAGTTCGAACTTCCTTGAGCCTTCATAACTAAATTTTTTCATACGTCAATCTTGAGATCAGTGCAAAAATGCCCCGACTTTTGTTGCAGTGCCGAAGCACTTTGCTGATCCTCCGCCATCAGACAGCTGTGAAAAATGAAAAAGGACTCTTTAGCAAGCTTTTGGAGAAATGCCAGTCCTTCCGCAAGGAAGAAAAGCATGTGGCCGAGGAAGAGGAATCAAAGAGGTCATAGGTATGGAATTTAAGCCAAGGAGATCTAAATTTCAGTATTTTTCAAACATATATATTATTATCTTTCTAGACCCTTGCAGGCGATCCCAGAAGTCACCCCTTCCCGTTCGAGATCATATAATGGACAACAAATTACCATATTGTTGCCGGGGGCCCAACATGAATCGGGTCCATTTTACGGGCAGATCATAAAACGGAACGTGCACAGACATTATAAAGCCATAAAGCATCAACTAAAATCTGGCAAAAATAGCTTTAGAGCAACAGGCATTGCACAGACTTAGGCAAGTGATATAACATCATTTCCATGGGCCGTTTACGATGTCTAAAATCCCAGACGTTGAATAAGGCGGAGAATAGAAGTGAAGAAAGGCAAGATTGACCAGGGAAACGTATCAAAATTTTCAGCGAATACAATTGATAGATAAAACAGATCGTTTTAAATGAATTACGAGCATTATTATTTGGGGGAAAACTGCAAAGTATCAGCTAGCAGGTGCTTAAAAGCTCCCACGCAAGACTCACTAGTTGCCGTCTTTGAACTGCAGTTTTCGGATCCCAGATGCATGACAAAGATTACTTGAAATCCAGATCCCCAGGGAACTAATAAATCCCACATCCGAGAGTGGGTGGGTGGATGATACTAAATGGTTCTAACTCAGCCCCCTTCTTCGACTCCTTCCATTTTTATGGCAATTCAATTGCACTGCCAGCGACTTTTGTTTCCTGCCGCGAACCGATTTTCCTCTTTTCCTCCATGCAGGTTGCAACCGTATGGCCATGTAAGATCTATATTCTCGGGTTTTCCTTTGCAAGATGTAAACAAAATACATACGGAAAACCCCCAACCATCGTCACACTTGTCGGCCCAAGACGACCCAATAGTTGAAATACTTTTTTCCCAGCTCGATTCTTTTATTTTTATATTTTTTGTTGCCTTGTGGTGCGAATGATCGAATGGATCGGTGTAATATATGTTCGGTTGTTTTTTTTTTGGGTAATTATTACTTTATCGCAGTGTAAACATATTGAAGCGGCTAATTTTAGTTGAAGAGATTATTCGCTTTGCTTTTACGATTCTGTGGCCTGATTTCGTTGGCAAATCTTTGGAATTTATTGGATTAATGGGGTTACTCGGGGTCTGGGGTATCTTTTATGTTGGCTTGGCAAAGGAAACGTCTATTAAACATAAATCAATTTTATTACTCTATTTTTCACAAGGACAGTTTATGGATCGGAACTTTTGGAGGAAAGAAACCGGACAATAGATTTCCAGTCATTGTAAACTTTTTGGGAATTTCCAAACCGCTTTGAAAACCCTGAACGAATGTCAGACAATACAAAATTAAATTAAAACTTTTTAATATTTTTTTCTAAGTAATGAGGATTGGAATTTGATTCAGTTTTTTAATACTACCAACTTAAATTATCTGTTACCCCTTCCCACAATCGATTAATTTTCTCTACTTGTCGGCCTCTTGACGTCTTTTGTAAAAGTGCCGAAAATCAATTGGATGTTCCAACGATCGACGTCTGGAAATCCATCAATACTCTTTAAACGCTTCGCGTCTGCAGACTGCAAATTCACTTGACTGCGTCTGAAGATTGAAAGGGGCGGATGATGGGTGATAATAGGGGAAATGAAGGGTATTCCCGCCTGTCTGTTGCACCTTTCATCGGCCAGCAAAAGATTTCATCCGAAACTAAATTTTCCAGCTTCCCGAATTATCGGGGAAATTAATCTTCCCAATCATGAGTTTAACCAGTGCCACAACACATGTGCCAAACCCTGGAATGAACACTGAAAAAAAACTAGTTATATGCACAATTTTTTAAGATCTTGCAAATTTCAAATGTATGGTTCAAGCACGATTTTGTTTCACCTCATCGCTAGGAATGAAATGAGTTCAATAAAAATGTTTTTTTTTGGTTCTGTGTAACTTAATATCAAATTTTAAAATTAATCCTCATAGCTAGTTAAAATTCCCACCTACTTCCCAAATTTCATATCGATCGTACAAAAATTCTGTTAAAAATGAGATTTTTATATTTTCTCTCTGTGTATGGTATGTGCTAACGGTATATCTATTTCAAGGCCTTACCCATCCTTGTAATTGCTCCTTCATCTTCTTTTAGCTGCTGTTTTCATGGCAGCTTGTTGTTTTTGGTTTCTGATGCCTAGTCTTCTTCTTCTTCTACCCGATGGCGATTGAAGTTTTGGATGAAATGTGCCGACATTCGTCAAATCTGTTGGCATCAGCAAACAGTTTGGGATTCCGATTCCGAATGCACCAACAACAACAAAAACAATACAAAACGTTATAGACGAGTGTGTCGACTATATGATACCTCTTACTCTCTTAACCACATTGCTAGATGCTTACAAAATAAATTCATTTCAATTTAAATTAAAGTTCTAACATCAAAATTTGAAGAACATTTTTCGTTATGTAAGTTGATGGGTATTGACAAGATAAAAAAATGTCAGTACAAATTTTAGTTCTAGCATCAAAAGTTTTTATTAGAGCTCTACATACTTTTAAACGAATACAATATACCCTTCACTCTACGAGGTATAACAATACGGGCAGCATGCGCTGCGCCTCATTTGAAAGCAATGAGTGCGACAGAGATGGGGAGAGGGACCACCCAAAGTGCAGCATCACCCCTCTTCTCGCACACCCATGGAGAACCGCAGAAATCCATATTTCTCTAGCTTGCGCTTTTTACGATAAATTACAGGGGGGAAGCACAAACGATCATTCATTCATAAGGCAGCGGGACCACGATATCAATCCAGAGATCCCCTTTATTCCCGCCCCCGCCCCCCCTTTTCTACGCCCCTCGACAAATGCCGCACGTTTCGTGTAAACATGTGTAAATCATGACCCGTTGATGGCCTTTATTTACAGGGGCGACCGCGGGAGGGGGTGGTGTTTGAAGGGGGTCGGGGGCCACATGTGACGTCCTCCACCGGCGGCAAAACTTTTGCACTGCGACCCCATCTTCATCCTCATTCTCTTGTCTTGCCCTTGCATCTTTTTGTTTAGATAATTTAGCTGCGGAAAGGAAAGCCCTACCCGATTCACAAATTTATTTTCATATCATCGATTCGGCAAGACAGTAGAACTTCTAATAATCGAATATCTTTTTAAGAAGAATTCAAAGTATTTAACTTTACTTAACAAATCCTAGTTTTTTACGATTTAAAATAAAAAATTAATTTAACTCAAGCATAAATATTAGTAGGATAGGTATGGTTCACTTTAAAGAAGTTCGACTGTAACACCACCAAATGCAACTGCAAACATTTGGAATCCAAATCGAAATTGTATTGCCCGAAGGCAAATATTATTTATGCCAGGGCCCTGAGAACTTTTTCCTCCGGCTTGCGTGCATATTGCGGGGGAGAAAGGAGAGCTAAAAACTGCGGGATAACGACCGCCTGCATTTTCAAACAACATCATATTTTCGGCTATGTTTATTTACACTTAAAGCGCTATCACAACAAACAAAAGCCAAAAGGCAAAGGGCACGTTGGGCATAATGAAATTATAGCTGATGGCTGACCGGACGAACGAGATCGTTTGAGTGGCTTCGTTGTTGGAACATACAAAGTTAAGACAATTAAAATGTTTGCCGTTTAATGAAATTTATTTTAAATTTGCCGCCCAAGAAGAGGGTAAGTAAAAAGAGTTGGCAGCTCATAATAACCGTTGATGACGTCACAGTTGCCTACAAAGGAATTAGCCAAGTTAAGCACCACACTTATTTAGTGAAGTTACAAACCTAGTCGGGCTTTCCACCTTTGCACAAAGCGGAGATTCCCACCTAGTTAGTGTTGACAAACGTACAGAAAATAACCGCGTAAAAATTAAAAAACACAGCGTTTAGAGATTTGATAAAAACATCCATATTTCTAACTTTTAAAACTTCGATGCACCTCTAACGAGAACGCTTAAAGGCGATTCAAAATTCTTTTGTTAGTTATTTTTAAAATACGATATAAATTATTATTTTTGCAGAGCAGCAAATGTAAGAAAACGTTGTATTATAACATTTTTGTTGAAAGCGCAACGAACAAATTCGAAATGTGTTGGTGTGACCATCCGCCAACCGCCGCGAAATGAAGAAAATAAGAATACCGGTATCTGTCCTTTTCACGATATAAATATTTATTTTTATTCAAAAACTATCGCTATATTAATATTTTTATATATTGTTCCCATCCCTAGATCAGAAGTGATCAGTGATTCATATTGCGCATAGCAAAATCGGCGGATAAAGCGAAATTAAACGACAAAGAAATTAAATCGGCTTTGCCGCTATAAATATACCCAAAACTAGCGGTGCATTTGGGTTTATATTTCGAAAACCCCGACTCGTCTGCAGATCAGCCAACAGTGTGTGTGTGCGTGCCCCTGCGCATGTGTGGTGTGTTTGTGTGAAAGAAGAAGAGGTGGAAACACACAAAAAAAAGAGTAGGAAAAAGTGTACAGCCGACGACGCGCAGACGCATCTCGAAAATCGTCGAAAATCGCGAGTGAAAAGTGCGGAAATCGGCGGAAAAGCGGAAAAGCCCTGTTGCCAAGACCCCGGTATTGAAACGCGATAAAGACATAAGCGAATATGGGTTGTGCCGTGAGTACAGCACGCGATAAAGAGGCCATCGAACGGTCCAAGAACATCGATCGCGCCTTGAGGGCGGAGGGCGAAAGAGCCGCCTCGGAGGTGAAACTGCTGCTATTGGGTGCGTCCTCCTTGCTTTTTACCTTCTTACCTCCATGTCTCACAGCTATCGTCCAGTATTCCGGTATTCCCCCATTGCGAATTTCCTCTTTTCGAGAGAGAGAGATATATGTCCAAGAATTTCATCGCTCTGACCTCATTTATTTTGCTTGGGCGGGGTGGGTTTTCGGTTGGGTTCCGTTTTTCGACTGTGGTGAGTTTTACGCAGGATTTTTGCCGGCTTTTCTTTTCCCTAGGGAAATCCCCATGGCAAACGATCTAGCAACAGATAATACTTTGTGATACACTGAAAGTTGACTAGATTGGTTTATTTTGTTGAAATAATTCTTATCTTTTTTCAAATAACTGGAGCTCAAAATGTGACTGCAGAATTCTTATGACACAAATGCTTTAGATACGGTATTTCAAGGCGATTTGTTTTTAAAAAGAACATTTCAGAAGTTTACGGATCCATTTTTAGTAAATTTAAAAAAATTGCAGGAAAAAAGTTTTTTAGTAAAAACAATGAGTATATTATGACATTCAAATTTTGTAATTGGACTTAACTAACCATTAGACCACCAGAATAAAAACGTGTTTTAACATACTTGAAGAATTATTTATTTTTTTTATGAACACATTAAATTTTATAGAAATTTATATTGCTTTTGTGATTAGTTCCATGAAAAATCAGAAATACTTTTTTCGCGTGAAGTACGT